TAGTAGGTTTATTGAAATTTATCGGGCTGGGCTTCGTTATTTTGTTGGGTAAATCATGTTACACGACTGTGTTTCAAACACCCAGGGCAAAGGTACAATGTTGTGATAAATAAACAGACGTGGATGTAAATAAATAACTTTGTCATAAGAACAGTTCACATTTACAACGTATAAATAGTTCACATCAAATATTTGAAATCACGCACACACACAGATCCAGCGTAACGATCACCAACAGCCACGCCATACTATTTCACACGCAGCAGTTGACGAAACACACCGTATTAGTATATTTATTGCTGCCGCGGAAAAAAGAATTATCACAACATCGTAACTTGCTTAGGTAGGTTTAAAAAACACAACGTCTACACATGTGATGTGGTAATTTGAAGTATTTTTCGGAGTAAGTTTAATTTACTCTTCGTTTGGTTACAAAGCAACACGCCATGTCATGGCTCGCCACGTCTGCCAACACTTTGTTTCTGCCCCGCTATCATATATAAATATATTAAAATAAGTATTCAAACATTAAAATCTCTTTTCAGTTGTAAATTACAAATTCAAATATCATTATTTTGCTGTAATAAGTATGAAATATGGTACAATTGAAAACATGTACAATTTTACCGCGTACTAGCGAAGTGACACTTTCCGAGTGTGAAAGCGACAGAGACAGAGAGAGAGCGACAAAGCTCGCTCAACAGACAGTTGCTTCAAAATTGCTCTCGCTCGATAAAACAACACCGCACCATTACGGCCTACTCACGATATTTTCCGCTGTTATTTTAAACTGTAAAAATGAGACATGTTGCCATCGGGGCTACCTGAATATTTAAATATTTCAATAGGCACCGTTTAATTTACATATAGCATGAAAAAAAAAAACTTGGTTAAAATAATATTTTAACTGTGAACTATATCTTACCGGCCGTTGCCAACCCGTCGCTGCTCTCGCTGTTGTTTGTTCATATTTAAAAAGAAATAAATATTACAACTTATAGAAGATACTAAGGTAAAGTTTCATTTATTCAATAATACAGTACTCTAAAGTTAACCACAGTGTTATATATTTGTGGAATACAGTTTATTGAAAAAAAACAGGTTGACATGGTTTGCCTAGTGCGTGTTTTTAAAGGTTGATTTTCATAAGTCGCTTCCAATCGGTAATGGACTACAGTTCCCACGTCGCGAGAAGCACACACGAGTACAGCGCCCACCAAAAAAATTTAACAATTGCGGAAAATTAAGTTTGTAAATTAATTGAGGACGTGAAAGGGTTAAGGCCAAGCTTCGCCATGCATGGGCGTATAGGGAATCAAAGGCTTAATTCACACAAAGATCTCTCAGTCGTTTTTTGTGATAGTATTTTCAACTAAAGATTTTTTTTGTTTAAGATTGAATGCATCTACATTTGTAAACCATTCAAATTTCAATTTTTTGATTTTAAATGCACTTTCTAATTATTTATAAAATGTCACAATTTTATAAATAATGAAAACGTACATTTGAAATCAAACAATTAAAGTTTGGAAGGTTTACAAATCTGGATGAGTTCAATCTCTAACAATAAATCTTTAGTTGAAAATACTTCCACAAAACGACTGAGAGATCTGTGTCTGAATTTAGCCTTTGATTCCCTATACGCCCACCCATGGCGAAGCCTGGCCTTCAAGTATATCTACGGTTCTAGAGACCCACAGAAAAAACACCCTCACATTTAGAACTCATTTTCCCAACTGAAAAAAATAAATGTTTTACTAAAGGAATTATTTTTCAATGCGTTGTTGATGGAACAATTCTCAAACATTCTTCTAAAATAACCCAGTATTCGTACTTACAGTCTGGACTACATTCTATTAGCAGAGACGTGCAAAATTCGCGTTATTATCTGGGATCATGCTGGGCTTCAAACACGTGTACCTTTGCAATACGTTCGTCACTGGACCATACTTTATACGATACACCTCGGATAACTATGCTCCAATAAATGAACACTTCATAATTGTGTGCCCCAATCACAGTTCAATGAGAAAGGGCGCGGCTTATCATCTGTGCAGTAGCCAATTGAGAAACGAGGCCGGCTCTAGTGCGTACAGTACTGTAAAGTTCAGCCAGATGCCAAGTAATAACGCGAATTTTGCATGTCCCTACCTATTAGTTAAGTTTCGGCCTGCACTTTTCCTTACCGTCGTAGTCCTGCAGCCGTACTGGCGTCACCTGAAACAGAGAGAGGGAGACTGCGTATTATGATTATGTCCAATTTAACACACTATTTGGTATACAGGATTTACATGCATACATTACTGCAACTCTTGAAAGTAATTCGACAAACTGTAAATTAATGAATTGTTAAACTCAGAATTGCTACAATAACAACACTGTAAAAAATGGTGTAATTTTACACGAATGTACGTGGCAGCACAATCTCCACACATGTCCGTGTATTTTTACACGTACATGTGTACGTGTACTTTTACTGGGCCCATGTATATTTACAAATACAATGCCAGTGTAATTTTACTATACTTGTTATTCTTTTTACTAATCATTATGTTCAATTATACGTACTCTGTATGTGTCATTTTACTTTTTTTTTGTTACCAATATCAATCCACATAATGTAAATTTACACAGACTTTGTTAGTGTAATTTTATCATACCTGTCAGTTTCTTTTACTAATCATCACATTAAATCACATGTACTCTGTACATGTTATTTTACTATACTTGCTACTAATTTTTTTTACCAAACATTGTAAATTAACACAATCATTATTATGGTAATTTTACTACACCAGTCTGTTACTGTTTAATGTTCATCATACCTAATTAAATGTACATTGTAGGTGTAATATTACCATACCAGTTTGTAATTTTAACGTATTATGATGTTAAATGACATGCACTCCGTGCATGCAATTCGACTATGTAAATTATAGATTTCCTGCCACATGCTGTAAATTTACACAAACACCACAAGTGTTATTTCACCACTGTGTATGTGTATTCTCTTAATAATAAAAAAATTAAAACGCAAATTCACTGCAATTGTAATTGCCAAATTTCCGTACATTAACAGCTGTAAAAAGTTATCTCCAAAAATCAAATATAGAATAGGTAGTTATACACAAAAACCAGCATATACCATCAGTGGGAGTTAAGATTTCCTTTTGAAGACAAAAGGAGTTCTAAGTAGTTCTACTCCCGACTGCTAGATCGCATGTGTTTAGCAAATACTTGTAGTTATATTTAAATTCACAGGAACATTAGTGTAAAATTACAAATAGTGTACTCCTTTTAGGAAATTACACATAAAAACGTAAAGTTGCCGTAAATTTGTATGTGTAAATATTCGCTCATATACTTTCGAATTTGAAATATTTTACATCCTGGTTAATGTCAATATACCAGTATACTTTTTTTTTTCTTCCTGTAAGATGGTACTACATTTTGAGTGAAATAGGGAAACATGTACTTTTACACTGATGTACGAGATTATACAACATTGGCATGGTTGTAAAAATATACAGACTTGGGGTTTTAATACCACGAATTAGTGTATTTTTACACATACTTTCGCATTTGTAATTTCACGCCCTTTTTAATGTCAATATGCCAGTTCGTTAGTGTTTTTTTTTTACAGTGAGATTGTACTGCCTATTGAGTGAAATAGAAAAATATGTACTGTTAAACTGATGTACGTGTTTTAATACAACTTTGGCGATTGGCGTGGTTGCAAAAACACACAGGCACAGGGGTTTAGTGGCTTGCATTAGTGTATTTTTACACAGACTTTTACATGGGTAATTCTACACCCTTTCAAATGTCAATATACCAGTATATTTGTGTTTTTTTACAGTAAGATTGTACTACCTTTTGAATGAAATAGAACAATATGTACTTTTACACCGATGTACATGTTTCAATACAACATTGGCGTAGTTGCAAAAATACACAGATTTGGGTTTTTATACTTCACGTTTGTGGATTTTTATACTTACTTTCAAATTTGTAAATTTACACCCCTCTTATTGTTAATATACCAATACATTTGTGTTTTTTTTAATAATATCAATGTTTTATGTTATGAATAAAGTTGTACATTGCTGTAAATTTACACGTAATGTACTTGTTTTTACAAATTACACATAGAAAACATAAAATTACCAAAAGGTTGTACGTGTATTTTCACACTTTTTTTTTTACAGTGCACGTTCTGGTGTCTGAAATATCTGTGACACACAAGCTTCTGAAATTTTGAAATATATTTACATTACGGAGTAAGAGAATGGGAATTTGTTTTTTTAATTCTCGTGGAGGAGCAGGGGAAGTCGTTTTATCAAAGAATTACTAGAAAGAGTGGAATATTGTAGTAAGTAGGCCCTTGCTCCGACCAACTTTTCATCAACGGATAAAAACTTCATCACTCATTCAAATTAGCCTGAGTGGGACAGTCCACTGTCTGAACTAGACGAAGTGCTGCACAGTCTACACTCTAAATTCGAATCAGCGGAAAAGCTCTGATTCGCAATGAAATTAAACTACTCGAATCAGTGAACATGGCTCCACTTAGAATCAGTCGAAAACCACTGACTGTTTAAGCGAAAAATTTTCACTGATTGAATTAGTGACGTGAAACATTTTCCCTGATTGAATAAATGACGGGTTACTCCAGTGGCGAATTAAATACTGTATTTATTAACTTTGGCCAAAATAATAACATTAAATTAACATATTTACTATAGTTTACTAATTATATTGCGCAATTTTAATGTAATTAAAAAAAAGTAAAATAACTTTCGGGGGTGGCCGGGATTGAACTCACACTATCTCCACTCCGCTTTCAGACCATTACTTTACCGTTTGCGGTACTTTTTCTTTTAAGTTGACGTGATTGACTTTATACATGCCGTTTGACAGCGTGGTTGACGTTTTCGACAAGTGGCAGTGTGTGATAGACGTATGCCTCACGCAGGAGGACACAGCCGGTCGTACACCCATGCCTTGTCCAGGACTCGAGCCCGGAACCCCCGCGCTGTAAACAGGCACGCGACCAACTGTGCCACGGAGGCCAACACTACCACCCAAGTTGAAAAAATGAGGGAAATATCTATCTACCAAAAAGTAATTGGGCACGTCTACTACAATGTTTACTCGGTGGTTGTCACCCCGGTATAATCTCTTAGGGCCTCCTCTTGCGGCTATAACAGCAGCCATCCTGTCTGGCATGCTCTCTACGAGTTTTTGCAGGACATCCACGGGGATTCGTCGCCGTTCCTCTTGCAACCATTCCATGAGTTGCGCAATGGATTTTGGCCGCGCCAGACCAGCCCTCACCCGGCGATTCAATTCGTCCCAAAGATGTTCTATAGGGTTGAGGTTGGGTCTCTGGGTGGGCCAGCCCAATCGGCGAACATTGTTATCGGCGTACTACGCATAGTAGCCCTTGAAACACGGCACCTGGCAATGTCATCCTGGAAGTAACACGGTCCATTCCGTAAAAACGCCACAATGTTGGGAGCATTTCATTATCCAGAATGTTACAATAGGTCTCTGTGTTTATGCTACCACGGACAAACACCAGCGGTCCTACGCCGAAGGCCGTGAAACACAAGTCAACTGACGTACTGAATTACCTATCTTCACGGGCGCTCAATTACTTTTTGTTATATAGATTGAAATTGTATGCCATTACTTTTCGTTTTTGGTTTAATGAGTACCGTTAGGATTGTTCAAACGAATAATATACATGAGTGCACTCTCTTCACCACATTACACTAGAGTCTAAACCTTCAAACAGAGAGCTGTGATGATTACGCGAAAACGAAATTAAAGACGTAAAAACGGAATGGAAGGCCGAATGTTCATATTACCTCGTAAAATGGATTTTTTGAAAGATGAAACACATTTTAGAAAGTAATTTGTATTGGTTTATTTGCTTTGCTATTTCACTTAATTCGCGTTATTTAACGGCCATTTATACACGTTGTTTAACTGATCCATCAGTCAAAAAACAAACCACCGAAAAACAGTGAAAAAGATGACTGATGAATCTGCGGGAAATGACAATGGATCAATAAGTGAAGGAAATCTGGCATTTTTTTTACTGATTTGTCAGTTAAAATAACTGAAGTGACTGTTGAATCAGTCGGGTGCTGTTGACTGATTGAAACAGTGAAATTCTCACTGATTCAGATTTAGAGTGTACCACTTTCTGGAGTGCGAGGTCGACTTCAAATACTGCCAGCCAGATGTCAATTGTCGCTGCCACGAAAGCTGCTAGAAAAATTAGAAGTATGTTGGTTAATTGCATTACATCTGGTTCACGGTTGGTTAAACACTTTTTTTCATAATCCTTTGAAAAAATACCCTACGTTTTCACAATGAGCAATAAAATAAACCAAGCAGAGCGTTCAAAATTGCTCAGTTTAGACCATAGGTAGTATTTATGTACACACACATGCATACACATCAAGTCTGTTCACGATAAAGTGAGCACTTTTGAAATAAACCTAAGAAAAAAGTCACTGCTCCTGCCTAAATATATTTTAACGGGCGCAGTGAGTGACATTCGCCCAGTAAAGTTGGTAACAAATGATAGAAAGAAGTGCCATATCTTAACTTCGAAATAACAGGTGTTAGATAACCATTTTGTGATAACTTTCTGTTTTTGTTAATGAATCGAAGTGTAAAAATGAGCAGATTTGTAAACTATTCACTTCCCTAGTTATTTCACAATTTAAATTGACCGACGCATGAATAAAGTGACGAGGCCCATGGCAATGTTCATTTTACATAAGGCGGAAGAATACACAACATGCATACAAGTAACTCCTAAGCAGGGCTTTCAAAAGTGCTCAGTTAATCGTCAACAGCCTATAGCCTGATTCAATATCTGTCCTCCGTGAACATTGTGTGGGTGGTAACTTCGCCTGCCATTACGAAACTAATGGGCGGCACGTTATTAATCTACAAAAAAAAGGGGGTTCCCCGGTGTTTATCGATTTATATTTGTTGGGTCGACTGAATTTGTTGTTTCATCTGGTGTAGTTTCTGGCTTTTTGCAAATAAGTACTTTTAACCCTCAGTTTTCGAGGCAGTCTCTCTCCCTTAATAGGCAACAGTGGGGTGTAGTGAGTTTTTTTTTTTTTACAGAGCAAGCAATTTCTACTAACAAACGCAACTTCCAACTTTGCTTACCCACCACATCTATTTACAGTTTTATAATACCTAACATTAGTTATAAAAACGGAAACGAAATGAATGGAATAATAATCAAATTGGATATTATTTAGAAGCATACTACAAATTATAAGATAACTCCCGTTTTCCCGAACACCTTCATCCACTAAGGAAAAATGTAGGACTGGAGGACGCAAACAGAACGACTGTTTACCCTGCTGAAGGAACGAGGTCGGTGATGGAATACACGCCACTGATAGGTTATCACGTTAGGTCATAGGTATTCTATCTCGAATTTAGGGCAATACTGTCTTTCCAAAGAAATTGTTCTCGACTAAAAAAAAAAAAAAAAAAAAACATAGTTTTTTTTAAAGGCTAACAACAAGTATTACGGCAATTTAAGTGCAGGTTTAACAATGCGTAATGTTGCAGTGAAATCGTGAACTATAGGAACGAGAATTATCGTGCCAAACGATTGCGGAATCGCAAGAAGTGTATGATGTGCAATCAAAATGTGCGTACTCGATCGGGAAAAAATGTAAAGCCAAATAAAGTTATGAGAACGTAAAATTTTAATGTCGCTATTCTAGTTATTTGTCATCGTCGAAATCAGAATAAATGGCTTACAAAAGTTCTTGTAGTAAAGGTAAAGAAGATCGATTGTGTTGAAAGTAACTGGACTGCAATTCTCGTTCGTATTCTTAGGTGACCACGACCAGACGCACCGATTCTTTCGGGACAGTCCAGATTTTCGAGGTCGTGCCCCGAATTTTTTAGAGGGTCATTCGGCACGGTCGTTTGTCCCGAATGTTGGGACCTGACAGTGTTGACTCGTGGTGTGGCCAGTTTTGGGTGGATTTGGGACAGACCAGGGAGGTAAAATAGTTATTGTAACTCAATTTTTTTATAAAAATAAAATAACAAAAAATATCATTGTTTGTATTTAGTATCTTTAATCAATAAATCATACACCTTATGATAAATAATTTGTAAAAAAAAAAAACAATATTACCATTCACGAAACACCCCCTGTAAACAGTCCATCCCCCTCCCCCACACACACACACCCTCCACTACTCACCCCTTCCCTCTAACTACCATTTATGAGTCAAAGCGAGCGTCCCGAATTCGGGTCAGAAAAATATGGTCACCTTATCGTATTCTCATCTCCCGGAAGGGTAAATGACACACAACCCCGAGCACCCGGTAATTACGAACATGTCTGAAGGAAAATTTTATCAGCGTTTGTTTATCGGAGGCTGCTTTCTCCAGACGATTTATCTGCGAATATGATCTGAGACACGCAAAGCTTTGGGAAAACCGCAGTGGAACGAGAGAGTACTCGACTGAAGTCTCGTGGGAAGTGAAGGAGAGGATAAATAACACGCACGACCGGTTTACGACGCACACTACGACAGCTCGCCGACAGGTTGACGACTTGGGCTCATTTGCAAACAAATGACGAGCGTATTTCATCTACCGCTATTTCGGCTCGGCGCAGGCCCCTGCGCGTTCGTTCCGTCCCGCCGACCTCCCACTATGCGGAAACACAGGCTGGAGCCCCCAGGTTCTGGAGACTCCAGGCGTGCTACCCATAAGCACTGCGAACTGCGTCGCAGAATATAGTCCATTCACGGTTACTCTCAATTTTTTTTTAAGCCCTACTGAAGTTCCACTTCCAGGATATTCCTCCGCCTCATGCAAACAAAGCTTAGAAAATCACACCAAAGGTCCAGCGCACTGCATTCGTGCGTGTTCAATGTAATACTATTTTGCAGAGGAGCGATTTCTTACTAGGAAGTACCGACACACCAATTTTCTCTGTTTTTAGTCATATTAGTCTAAAAAAAATGTAGAAGTTAAATTTAACCAAAATAAAGTACTTTTACGCTAACACAAGTATAAGACAAAATTATGAAACAACGAAACGAGTCATACAATGCATTTTTTTCTAAGTTTGGCGGAAAAAGTGTGAAGAAACGGCGAATGAACTACACATCAAGGCGAAAAGGTTTCAATTTATGGCGGGGTCAATTAATAGGTTTGGACGGATCTCAACAGAGAGGTCTTGAGACCCCATGAGGGTGAAGCGAGGTGGTAATGGAGCAGCGCCAGAATACATGGGTGGGGAGAAACGGGAGATTCCCGAGAAAACCCGCCGACCAGCAGACCCGTCCGGAACTTCTCCCAATGAAGAAATTTGGATGACCTCGCCGTGAATAGAACCCGGTTCACCTTGGTGAGAGGCGAGTGGTCTAACCGCCACACCACCGCTGCCCTTAGGAGTCAACTGGTTTTTCGCGTGTGGGAAACGGGGCGGACGTTGTCATTGACCAGCAAATTTCTCGAAGGAATTCAATTTATCCCGGCCTTGCATTCCGCCGCGGCTCCATCTCCACCCGGGGGGGGGGGGGCGTGGTGAGGCAGCGGCTAGAGAGTCGAACCGGACTCTATTCCCGGGGAGGTCACTCCCGGATTTTCGCACGATGCCGAACGATGCCGCTGCTCTGTACTCACCTTGCTTCACCCTCATCGGCTCTCAAGACATCGATGTTACGAGTCGCCCAAACCTCTACACACTCCATCTTCACTTCACTTCGCCCTCGCCGGCGCTCAATATGTCTCAACAACACCAACAATTCTTTAGTGTCGCAGTGGCGTCTGGTAGCTGGTCTTCGTGGCTATAGGCGATTCACGGTAAAGTGAGCACTTTTTAAGGCCCTGCTGAAGTTTTCTTCTCATCATATTTCTATTTGCCTGTCACTTTTTAATACAAACATTGCCATCAGACTAACAAAAAGGCGTATACATTTCTACACTCCCAAAAGTTAACATCTCGAGCTGCAATAAAATATATTTATTAGTGTTTAATGCTTGTTGAAAGGGCCTT